TCATTCGTCAAATAGATATTGAGCGCTCGCTGTCTGTGTGCCAGTGAACAAAATGATGCCATTTTTCCTTCTTCAGATTGGCAAGAATTTGAGTTTGGTAACATCAAGCCAGGTGAACAGAGGCTGTAGAAGGATTAAATCCAAACCGTGCTCACCCCGTGCAATCCCTCTCTGCCGTGGCAGGCGTGTGTGCGTGGGGAGTCCACGCCAAACAAAGGGTGTTACTGAAAGGTTCTGAGTGGGCCGGGTTCAGGCACCTATGATATGAGGCCATAATGTATCAAAAGAACTGTTATTCCAGGCACCTGGGTGCAGGTGGGCTGAGTTCGAAAAAGGAATCAGCGGTGACTGAAGGGGGAGGCAGACTTTATTTTATTTTTATTTTTTAAAATTTATTTTTATTTATATTGATTTCAGAGAGGAGGGGAGAGGGAGAGAGAGATAGAAACATTAATGATGAGAGAGAATCATTGATCGGCTGCCTCCTGTACATCGCCTACTGGGGATCAAGCCCACACCCCAGGCATGTGCCCTTGGCCGGAATCGAACCTGGGACCCTTCGGTCCGCAGGCCGACGCTCTATCCACTGAGCCAAACCAGCCAGGGCAGAGACTTTTATTAACCTCTGCTGGCTGCAAACAGTTCTGCTGAATTAGGGTCGGGTCCGTTCTTGGTTCCTCCCATGCCAGATGTCCAGTGGTTATCTAGACTATGTGGTGTTCAAGGCTGCAAGCTTTCTACAAGATATCTGCTAAGCACAATAACTTCTCTCTGCCCCGTTTTATTATCTTGAACCCTTCCAGTTGCCTGCAGGTTGGATAGTTACTGTTAAAAAAAAAAACTGGGAGACGCCCTGGCTGGTTTGCTCAGTGGATAGAGCACCGGCCTGCGGACTGAAAGGCCCCAGGTTCGATTCCAGTCAAGGGCATAACTCTTTATCCCTCTCCCTTCCTCTCTGTAAAAAATCAATAAAAAAATATATTAAAAAATAAAAATAAATAAAAAAATTTTAAAAAATCCAAAAGACAAAAAACGGGGAGACACATGTCCATCAACGGAGGACTGCATACACCAGGATGGTAGGGTCCCAGGAGGGAATAGCATGAGCAGATAGAAAGAATGAGAGACATCAGGGAAATGAGAAAAAAAATTTTTTAGAGTATAATAGAAATAATCCTGTTATTTGCAGATTTTTAAATATTTCCTACAATTCTTGTGATATTATACTATGTTAGTAGAGTTTTGGTAATATATTTAAAATGTTGCATACACCAGGATGGTAGGGTCCCAGGAGGGAATAGCATGAGCAGATAGAAAGAATGAGAGACATCAGGGAAATGAGAAAAAAAATTTTTTAGAGTATAATAGAAATAATCCTGTTATTTGCAGATTTTTAAATATTTCCTACAATTCTTGTGATATTATACTATGTTAGTAGAGTTTTGGTAATATATTTAAAATGTTTTTTCTTGCCCTGGCTGGTTTGGCTCAGTGGATAGAGCGTCGGCCTGCAGACTGGGGTCCCAGTAATTTGCAGATTTTTAATATTTCCAACAACTTTTGTGATATCATACTAAGTTAGTAGAGTTTTGGTAATATGATTATACTTAAAATCCCTTATTCTTGAAATATAAATGATATTGCATATAATATTATTATATGTAAGATTATTTTTCTTGAAAAATTGGTGTTTATTGCATGTAATATTATCATACTTAAATCATTGGTTTCTTGAAATATTAATGCTTATTGCATGTAACATCATTACATTTAAAATAGTTTTCTTGAAATATTAATGTTTATTGCATGTAACATTGTACTTAAAATTGTTTTTCTTGAAATATTAATGATTATTGCATGTAACATTATAAAAAATAAATTTAAAAAATAACATAGATGGAGCCAGGTGGGTACTGGAACCATAAGCTGTATACCTGAAACTAATGCAAAATAATATTGAATGTAAACTGTAATTAAAAATTTTAAAAAAATTAAAAAAAGAAAAGATTTACTAAATTTAAAAGAAAAAGACATCAGGGAAATGCAAGTTAAAACAATGAAATACCACTACACTTTCACCAGAACAGCTAAAACTAAAAAGACATACAGTAGCAAGTTTTGGTGAGCAAATGGGACTCTCCTCCGCTGCTGGTGGGAATGTGAAATGACACAGCCACTTGGAAAAAAAAGTCTGGCAGTTTCCTTTATAAGAAATGGGTACCCACCGCATGACCCAGCCGTTGTACTCTTAGGTATTTACCCAAGAAAAATAACACTGATTGAAAAAGAAAAAAAAAAACCACAAAGACATGTAGACAAATGTTCATAGCAGCTTTATTCATAATGGCTGAAAACTGAAAGCAATCTAAACGTCTATAAATGGATGAGTGGTTCAACAAACGGTGGTCCATCCATATGAGGTGATACGCTTTGGCAAGAAAAAGAAATGAACTACTGGTAAGTGCAACAGCATGAATAAATATATTTTTTAAAACATCTTGCCGGCCCTGGCTGGGTAGCTCAGTAGATTAGAGCATCCTCCCGATATGCCAAGGTTGTGGGCCAGCCCGGGCACATGCAAGAATCAACCAATGAGCCTGGCTGGCTTCGCTCAGTGGATAGAGCATCCGCCTGTGGACTGAAGGGTCGCAGGTGCCAGTCCAGTCAAGGGAGTGTGCAGGAGGCAGCCGATCAATGATTCTCTTTCATCATTGATGTTTCTATCTCTCTCTCCCCTCTCCCTTCCTCTCTGAAATCATTAAAAATATATTTTAAAAAGAATCAACCAATGAATGCATAATAAACATAAGAACAAATTGATGTTTCTCTTTCTCTCTCTTCCTTCCTCTCTCTAAAAACCAATAATAGTAATTTTTAAAAATACATATTGTTTATTTCAGAAAGGAAGGGAGAGGGAGAGATAGAAACATCAATGATCAGAGGGAATCATTGATCAGCTGCCTACGGCATGCCCTCTACTGGGGATTGAGCCTGCAACCCGGGCATGTGCCCTCAACTGGAATCAAACCCAGAACCCTTCAATTTGCAAGCCGGCTCTATCCACTGAGCCAAACCATCTAGGTCAAGCATGTCAAACTCAAAGGCTAACACAGGCCAAATAAACAAGGTTTAAGTTTATGTGCAGGAGGCAGCTGATCGATGTTTCTCTCTCATCGATGTTTCTAACTCTCTATCTCTCTCCCTTCCTCTCTGTAAAAAATCAATAAAATACATTAAAAAAAAACAACAAAGGGCTGAGATAAATGAGTCATCGTAAGATAAAATAATAGAACGTTTTAATAAAAATTAATATTTTTGCTTGAACATTAACTTACCAGACACTGAATAACTGCACAAATTAATAAGCGTAACGCAAATAAACCTATTCTTCTTGTTCTCCGTACGCGAAATATTTTCTGTGGCGCACACCAAACAAGTCAGTCCGAGACTAATAATAGCGTGGCATTTGGCTGCTAAAATATTTGCTGCTGGTATTAGTGGCGAGAAATGGTGCGCCTGCACATAAGGCACGTAAGGGAAATGAATGCACACGATTATAGTAATCAGTCATTAGTGAACACTGTAGTTCATGATCAACAATTATGTATAAATGGATATTGTAAAAATTAAGCTAAAAAATTTTTATTAAAACATTTCTTACATACCACTATATTGGCTGGGCCGCAAAAATATTCAGCGGACCACAAGTTTGACACGCTTGATCTAGGGCTAATAGTAATTTTTTTTAAAAGCATTATACCAAGTGAAAAATGCCAGTCACTTTTGTATGAAGTTCTAGAACAGGCATAGCTAATGAACCTGTGATAAAAGAACTTGGATCAGGGGTTGCCTTCACAGGAGGTAGTGACTGGTGGGGCCATGGGGTGACTTTTGGGGGACTGGAAACAGTACTGTGGTTACACGGGTGGGCTCAGTTTGCAACAGTTACTTGATATACATTCCAATTTTTTAAATGGAATTTTCAAATACAGTTTAAGAAAGAAAGAGGTGGCCTTGCAGGTTGTAACAAGAGTGAGTGTTTATAGGCGCTTACTCAGCATCAGGTGAGGAAGTAGGGGCTTTATATTAAATCTTTATAACCGTTTCCTTGTTGGGGAAAGTGGCACAGAGAGGTTAAGTAGCTTATTAAGGGCTTTGCATTAAATCTTTGCAGTCATTTGTCTGTTGGGGAAAGTGACACGAGGGGTTAATTTACTCTCAGCCAGTTAGTGAGCCTGGGGCTGTACAAGAATTTGAACTCATAAGCCTGACTTCAAAACCCACACATGTTCCACACCCTTTAGCCACAACCCTGACAGTGGAGCCCAACTAAGCTTTTAGGTCCTACTGG